GATGATGAAAAAAGGCTCTGGACAGCATTTGGATATGGAACAGTTAAAAAACGCTTATAAACGCAAATGCTTATAAAGGCAGTTAGCCGTGTCTACACGCGTTTGAAACGTTGATGATATCTACTCCTGAACGCAAGTTTGATGCGTTCAAAAAAAAACGACTGTAAACTCAACTGTTTGTAAACGACTGTAAACAACATAGTGTACATGGACACATAGGAAAACAATACGGAGAGTTCAGGGGCTGCTGAAAAAAAAGCAGAAAAGCTACTAAACGTGAGTTTATCAGTTGCAGTGTACATGAGCCCTTACCACAGTTTGAGAATGCTGCTTCCAAGGGTTTGCTCCTCCAGAGATACATAGGAGTAGTAAGTGTAGCCACCCCTAAGGAGGGAAGCATGTTACTGGCCAGATCAACAGGTAAAAATAAAGGGAAAAGAAGCCAAAAAAAAGTATGAATGCAGCCACCACATCTAAGGATTGGTAAGCTTCAATACACAAAATGTTCCATTTTTGTTTTTGGGTTTGGATCCGCTTAAAGCAAAGCTCCAACTATACAATGCACATAGACAATTTAATGTATAGGTTTCTCAGAGAGACTTAGTAAACATTATTGAAATTACAATATAAACCTGACAATGAACTGCATTTACAAGGCTGACAGTCTGTCCTGTAAAGAATGACTGTAGAATTATGTGTACTTCCCGTATTGCTGCAACTGACATGTAGCTACCACTGTACAAAGGTTGTTCCACGTATGTTTTTCACGTGATTTGTTAAACAGCAAAGCAAGTGATGTCATTCCATGTGCTTTTTTTATTGAAGCAATGACTAATACACCATGGAAGAGCAGGAAGTGTGTGATGTAATAGAAGCCGAACATACAGTACAATGCCGAGGAGCTGTTAGCATTCTGTCACCTAGCAGTGCCTTAGAAGGCATCTTCATGTGTTAACACAGAAGGCATCCCTGGAGGGGAGTTGTCTTCTGAACAAGAGCAGAATGTACAACATGACACCTGAAGAGCATGTAGCGTGCCACATCTGTAGCTAACAGAGACATTATGATGTAACTTACAATACCAGCCTATAATAAAAAAACTGCTTTAGTCAATATGACATTTTATTACTATTGAACACCGCTGTGATCATTTCACTTTGTTCTACGTAATGCAATTTTTTTTTTTAATTTGGTTTTGAGCATTGGCTCATTTAGACATAGTCAGGGTTTTTTTCCTCAGAGAATAGTTGCAGGTACTCCTCTCTTTCGAGTCACCCCTCGTCCCTGCCCCCCTACCCACCTCTGAGCACCATCTCTTGCTTACACCCCCTTACCCACATCCAAGTACTGCACCTTTTAGAGAATACAGAACCATTCATGTTGTGGTGCTAAGTAATTTGTATGAGTAATTTGTAAAGCAGTAAAATAGATCCCCTTCAGCCAGTAACAATAGATTTCTCCAGCAACAATAACCCCCTCCCCAACAACAATAGATCCTGCATAAATAATAGACCCTCCCCACAATAACCCCCCCTCCCCAGTAATGATAGATCTCCACCAGGCACAATAGACCCCCATCAGCAAGAATGGATCTCCCAGCAGCAAGCATCAATAAACCACTCTATCAACAGAAGCAAGATCCCTCCCAGCAATACAGAAACAATAGATCCCACAGCAAACAATAGATCCCCTCAATGGCGATAGAACCCCCAACAGACAGCAACAATAGACCCTCCAGCACAACCAACCACCCCTTTCCATTAATACATTCAGTGCTGAAGGTGCCGTAGCCAGGAGCAATAGACCCTCCAGCACAACCAACCACCCTTTCCATTAATACATTCAGTGCTGGAGGTGCCGTAGCCAGGAGCAATAGACCCTCCAGCACAACCAACCACCCATTTTCATTAATACATTCAGTGCTGGAGGTGCCGTAGCCAGCAGCAATAGACCCTCCAGCACAACAAACCACCCCTTTCCATTAATACATTCAGTGCTGGAGGTGCCGTAGCCAGGAGCAATAGACCCTCCAGCACAACCAACCACCCATTTTCATTAATACATTCAGTGCTGGAGGTGCCGTAGCCAGCAACAATAGACCCTCCAGCACAACCAACCACCCCTTTCCATTAATACATTCAGTGCTGAAGGTGTCGTAGCCAGGAGCAATAGACCCTCCAGCACAACAAACCACTCCTTTCCATTAATACATTCAGTGCTGAAGGTGTCGTAGCCAGGAGCAATAGATCCTCCAGCACAACCAACCACTCCTTTCCATTAATACATTCAGTGCTGGAGGTGCCATAGCCAGCAAAAATAGACCCTCCAGCACAACAAACCACCCCTTTCCATTAATATATTCAGCCTGGGTTCACATATATTCGGTGCGGTATATCACATGTGATTCGCACAGGAACAGCACCACATTCCTGTGCAAATCACATGCGATTTGTGTGCAGTGCAATTAGAGCCATACATTTTGTATGGCTCTAATCACACCGCACCCGAACCAAAAATGTGCAGGACCATTTTTTTGGTCTGCACTAGAATCAGATCTCATGGGTATTCACACCTATGCGATCCGATACTGCACTCCGGACTGTGTTTTGTGGACCGCTTTCGGGGTGTTGTTAACTTAACATACACACCCGCACCCGGGGTGCGATTCTGATGTGGTACGGAAGTTGCACAAGAAAACACTGCAAATTCCGCAACGCATCAGTGTGAACCAGGGCTCAGTGCTGGAGGTGCCGGAATGCGTTCCTCTGCATTCCTGCTGAGAAAAAGCCCTGATGATAGTCATTAAATATGTTCAAAGCACAACAATAATAGACAACAGAGTGACTCACAGCAATCAATCAGAATTCAGTGTTATGGTGGCTATACATGCTTCAATAAATGATCCATTTAATTTTTATACAATCCTTTTTTAAAAGAAGTAATCAACTTATAGTCAAGAACCCATTTGATCGATATACTGCACATGGGAAAGTGGATTTTGATCAATAGTTAAGATACAATTGTACAATTTACAGTTGTAAATGATCAATCTCATCTCTGTTACTACCATATAATCTCATTATGTGATCAATCAAAACATGATCGTATTCATGAGCAAAGTATCTCACTGCTGATAAATTTTCGTCCTTGCTGATCAACTTTAGTTTGATCAAATCTGATCTAAATTGAGTCTAAATTCATTGATAGAGAAGTTATGGCTAATTGGTTGAGCATTCAGTCGTTTTGATTGAATCACATGTCGATCCGATATCAAAGCGGAGTTCCACTCACCTGTAAAAAAATAAAAGTCAGCAGCAAAAACTGTAGCTGCTGACTTTTAAAAAACAGCCACTTACCTGTCCCTCGGCCCTGTGGTGTATCCTCCGCAGCCCGTTTCACCGGCCGTCCTGTATTCCAGGAGACCGGCATCTTCAGTGTGGGCACTCGACTGTGATAGCTTGTGGCTTCACAGCCAGGTACCCACTGCGCATGCGCGAGTAGCTCTGTGCTTCGTGAATGGTTCTGTAGTCTTCTGGGACCTGTCACGTGTCCCAAAAGACTACAGGGAGGGAGGACACCTTCCATTTCCGATCGCCTAGGCGATTGGACCAAAAGTGGGAGCGGGTACCTGTCAAATTCGGGTACCCGCTCCCCAAAGGTGCCAATCCTTAATGGGGAGCGCTTTAAAATTGAAGCATGTTTAGCCAACATAAATCGATCAGAAGGGGACAGTATGGCAATTTTTTTCATTTGTGGATTTGATTGTTTTGAATGATTTACACAATCAAATAACAACATTACAGCATAAAAACATGAAAACAAAGAAGGGGCAAACACCTAGCGCATTACCTTAAAACAATTTATTGAAAATAAAAGACAAAGGTTTTACTCACAAACCAAGTAGGTAATTGGCATGTGGTTATACTGTATAAACACACAATGTGGACCGCTCTCCACCTCCAACTGGAGACAAGATGGTGTGAGCCTTTGACGCGTTTCATGTGTGACCACCATAAGCAAGAACAATGAATATTGTTGGGTTGTTCTGTTTAATAGAAGTGTTAACTATATGAAGAAAATCTTGTACTAATAGTAGTATAAATAGGATTGGGAAATTTTATTTTCTGTGGAACATCCTATCTGGATGGGCATAGTTGGTTTTCACATTACAGGATCAATATAGGCAGTATGGCCTTACTACACCCTTACTGCTGCTTTAGATATCATTTAAAAATGCTCATTTATAAAATTCAGTGGTGTGCTTTGCAAATCTACTTTGTGCTCTGCTTGTGCTGGGACTCTGAAGCAGGTGGAGTGCATTTAAAATGAATTAAAAAATAAAAGGCTGGGTGAAGAACCTTACTGTGTGACCTGTACAAAATAACATAACCTGCCTCTCCTCCAATTACAGAGTTCTCCCTGCCGCGGTAAGTAGGGAATTCCATGAAACTGCAAGCTCCACACTGTGGCCTGCATTTTATGAATGGGACATGGTGTGGAGTAATCTTGAGTATGATGAAGAGCAGTATCCACTCTCAGCTATAGGTAAGCATGATAGTTATAGATTCCCATAGATTACATTGGTTGCAATTATTTGCGCATTCCCTCCAGCGTACTCTAGAATTGTTACATTATACATTATATCTCTTGATGTCCTATGTTTCTCAGCTCCATCTAGTGGCCATAATGTCGTATTTTACTACTACCCATCATAAAACAACCTTCAGAAGTGAAAATAGTCTAAACAACATTTGTTTTTGCCCAGTTCACATAGAATATACATACAGAGGTTGATTTACTAAACCTGGAGAGTGCAAAATCTGGTGCAGTTCAACATAGAAACAAATCAGCTTTTATTTTTTTGTCAAAGCTTAATTAACCACCTCCCACCCGCCATATAGTCCAATGACGGGCACAAGGTGGTTCTCTCGTTCTGGGAGGACGTCATATGACGTCCTCCCATTCTCACTGCGCATGCGCGGTGATCGGCGGTGCGCTGTGTCCCTCGGACACAGCGGATCACCGATCACGGAAAGAGCCGAAGATGTCGGCTCGGTCATGTGATCGGCTGTGTCCAATCACAGCTGATCACATGTAAACAGGGAAATGCCGGTTATCAGCATTTCTCTCCTCTCGAGCTGTCAGCGTGGCAGCTCGAGAGGAGAAGAGAGCCGGTAATCAGCTTTCCGCGGAGGGGACATGTACACTGGTCATCAGGGCACTGATGATCAGTGTGCCCTGATGATCAGTGTAGCCCCAGCAGTGCCACCTGTCAGTGTCCATCAGTGCCTTGTGTCAGTGCTCATCAGTGCCTCGTGCCAGTGCCCATCAGTGCCACATCAATGCCACATATCAGTGCCTACCAGTGCACATCAATGCCACATATCAGTGCCCATCTGAGCTGCCTTTCAGTGTCACCCATCAGTGCCAGTCAGTGCCACCTATCACTGCCAATCAGTGCCACCTATCAGTGCCAGTCAGTGCCTCCTATCAGTGCCAGTCAGTGCAGCCTATCAGTGTGCATCAGTGCCGCCTATCAGTGCCGTGTCAGTGTCGCCTATCAGTGCCAGTCTGTGCCGCCTAACAGTGCCAGTCAGTGCCGCCTAACAGTGCCAGTAAGTGTCGCCTATCAGTGCTACCAGTCAGTGCCATATATCAGTGCCATGTATCAGTGCTGCCTTTCAGTGCCCATCAGTAATGCCTGTCAATGCCCATTAGTGCCACCTACCAGTGCCTCCTCATCAGTGCCACCTATTAGTGTCCATCAGTGCAGCCCATCAGTGCCCATCACTGCAGCCTCATTAGCGCATATCAGTGAAGGAGAAAAATCACTTATTTACAAAATTTTATAACAAAAACTAAGAAAAAACTTTTTTTTTCAAAATTTTCAGTGGTTTTTGGTTTGTTTAAGAAAAAATAAAAAACCCAGAGGTGATTAAATACTCCAAAAGAAAGCTCTATCTGTCACAAAAAAATTATAAAAATTTCATATGGGTACAGTGTTTTATGATCGCGCAATTGTCATTCAAAGTGTGACAGCACTGAAAGCTGGAAATTGGCCTGGGCAGGAAGGGGGTATAAGTGCCCTGTAGGCTAGCGGTTAAACAAGCTGGAAGTTAGAAGCTGATTGGCTACCATGGACAGCTGCAGCAGATATTGCATTTTCCAGTTTTACTTTGCTTTTGATCCATTTTGCATTTTGCTTTGCATTTTTGTACACACATTTTTGCTACGTTTTACCGCGTTTTTACAGCTTTTTTTGGTTAACCATATCCCAGCCACCCTATAGCAGATATACTGTTCATGGCAGCAGGGGTGCGCAAAATCACGTATATATACACGATTTTGCATTTCCAGGTAGGGGGCGCACAATCCACGTGCGCTCGCTACCCACGCCACCATTCATGGCGGCGGCTGTCAATCACTGGGTCCCAGCCAGTGATTACCCGCCGGCACCCGGTGATTACCAATTATCTCCGACAGGGAGGAGGGCTGCTTTGTTTACTAACAGTCCTTCTCCCTGTTGGCTCAGGCACACTGCTCTGGATGGCTGTGCTCAGTGTCAGAACAGTGAAGCACCAACGCACTGCCCCTAGTAAAACACTCCCAAGCACACAGTTAACCCTTTGATCGCCCGTCATGTTAACCCCTTCCTACCAAGTGCCATTAGTACAGTGTCCGTGCTTTTTTATAGCACTGATCACTATATTGGTGTCACTGGTTATGTCAGTGACACCAAGTCAGTTCCCCCCAGTGTCAGTATGTTCTCCGCAGTGCCGCAGTATCACAGTACCGCAGTCCTGCTATAAGTCGCTGATCGCCACCAATATTAGTAAAAAAAAAAAAAAATTCCAGTATCTATACCGCCATTTGTAAACACTATTATTTTCACGTAAACCAATTAATTTACATGTATTGTGATTTTTTTTTTAGCAAAGACATGTAGCAGAATGCATTTTGGCCTATATTTATTATGAAATTTGAATTTTAATATTTTTTTACTGGACATGTTTTAAATAGCAAAAAGTCAAAAATATTGTTTTTTTTCTCAAAATTGTTGGACTTTTTTATTTATAGCACAAAAAATAAAAAACGCATAGGTGGTCAAATACCACGGAAAGAAAGCTCAATTCGTAAGAAAAAAAGAACGTAAATTTAATTTGGGTGCAGCGTTACATGACCGCGCAATTGTCAGTTAAAGTAACGCAGCGCCGTAACGCAAAAAATGGCCTGGTCAGGAATGGGGTAAATCCTCAGGAGGGCAAGTGGTTAAAGGGGAAATATTTTTGTTGCTGGGTAGAATTAAAACTCAAAATGTGGGAAAAACACACAACGCGCATTTCAGCAGCATCTCCATTGAACTCTATTGTAGAAAAAATGCTGCTTTTTGCGTTTAAAAAAGTCCCTGACCCTTTCCAAAAGGTACTTGCTTAAAAAACATAGATATGAATGTGTCCCTTAGGAAACTACGTTAAATGGATTGTAGTACGTTTCTGCAAAAAAAACAAAAAGCCGCAAAAAACTTTCACACCAATGCTTTTAGCTTTTTTCTGTTTTGCAGTGCTTTTAGCAGTGCGTTTATGCAAAATGCAAAAATCAGTAAAAAACAAATAGGTGTGAAGCAGGTTTTACCCTAGGTTCACACCTAAGCATTTTCTGCAGTGTTTTGCAGAAATACAGTACAGTCCATTTAACATCATTTCCCATGGGACATGTTCACATCTGTGTGTTTTCACCCGGTGCGTTTTTTTGGAAAGGGTCAGGGACTTTTTTGAATGCAAAAAGTTGTGTTTCTGGTTTAGGCTTCAATGGAAACGCTGCAAAAAAGTATGTATTGCGTTTTTGCCACGTTTTGGATGCGATTTGTGTTTTTAAATCTGCCTAGCAACAAGAAAAATGAAAAAAATGAAAAACAAAAATACAAAATGGAACAAAAACATGGCAAAAACTCAAAATGCAACGCAAAATGCAATGCAATAATGGCACAAACGCAACCTGTATAGGTGTGAGCCTAACATTAGGGTTTAAGCCTCTGCTTGAGATGCAGCATGACGTGAGAGGAAAAAAATCACCAAAATGAGAGGATGTCCCATTTTAGATAGCTGTCACCAGAATATATGTCCCCATTGGAAGACTTCTCCTCACCTCCTGCTATCATGACAACTACAAAGTTTAGGTTTTCCTATCACTTTCTTACAGTAGTCACCAGGACAAACAGGTGAATCTCCCTTGCAGGGATACAGACAGCAACAAAACCACGACAGGGGGTCAAACACTTCCCCATCCTATATAAAACTTAACATGCACATTAATAAATGAGCCCCACAAAGTGATTTTCTTTCTTTTTTTCTTTTTTTTTTCAAACTGTAATAAAAGTTTGGTAAATTATAGAGTTCAACTACATCAAACCAGTATAAAAGTAAAAGCATCACACAAAAATAAAAGTAGAAAAAAACAGTTCTCCAGCAGTTTCTCTTTTAGCCAACTCTCTAGAAGAAGTAATGTAAAATGCAGTTTTGAAAGATTTGATATTTCGCCCTTTAGCACACTTCTTGTTAAGCTGATAATTTCCTTAGTTTCCTAGGAAACTCATGTTGTTGAGGTGGTCTTTCAGATTTTCTAAAAAAAAAAAAAAAAATTGCCATTGCATTTTCCCAAGTTTCCATGGTGACTGTTTGTGATGGCTTCCAAGGAAACTGCACTAAGCAGGGTGCCAGTGTCAAGATACTTGACTTAATCTCTGCTTGTTCATGGGAATCTGCTGATTAATAATATGAGTTTTAAGGTTAGAGAAAAGAAAAACAATGTATTGGTGTGCCCAGTATTTGTGCTGTTTGTACTTTCAGCTGCTGAGTGTCCTGGCCCCCTCAATTCTGTAATTACTGGATGCAGGATGAGGATTTAAAGAAGAACTGTAATGTTTTGGACAAAGGTCTTTGCTGCTTCATATTTCAATTCTTGTTTTTCACGTACCAGTTTGTAAACTCTCCCTCTGGTAATTCAGGGGGCATTCTCTGTTTAAAGTGGGACTGCACTGCATCTGAGTACCACAAACTAAAAATTCTCTTTAATTCATATTTAATAATATGTTAACCTCCCTGGTGGTATGATTCTTTCCGATTTTTTGTGCTGAAAGTGGTACCATTTTTTTGCATGGAAATATGTAGTTTTTTATTGTAGGCTGTAATTTTTAGGAATAACTCACTGAAATCTGTACGAACAAGAGTCTAGTAAACATTCCGGATATGATAAAACTTGAAACACGAAATAATAAATTATAATTTAATAAATAATCATAAAAAATAATAATATAATAATAATACATTTAATTCAATAATATAATCAAACCAAAAACACTGAAATTTGAAATACAGAGGCAAATTCGCACATTGCTGAGCAAAGTCGCAAAATCGTTTTCAGTGTCTGATGACGAATTTCCCCACAAAATCATTATCACTCAATTCTGCAAGTGGCTCTGATTTACTAGCGCTGTTCTAAAAACCGCTTTTGACGTAAAGGGACGCTTTTTGGACGCCATGGACTTTTCTAAGTTTCCAGGCAGAAAGAACAGTCAAAATGCAGACAGGGCACAGGACAAAGCACTAGGGACAAAATATATGTGAAATGCATTGAAACAGCAATGACAGCAAAAATGAAATTTTTTTAAAATTTAAAATTTCCCGCCGGTTCCAGCGCCCATACGTCCCGACGTCACAGGGACCGGAACACAGAAGCCGGATGCCGGCATTGGCTGGAGGAGATGGCCGGGGACGCTGCAGGGGACACATCGCAGGAGCGAAGGACAAGGTAAGTGCTGCAGGGACCCCCTGAGCAACGCCGCATGGTAAGCCCGAGGGTAGCTCGGGGTTACCGCTCTTGGTATTGAAATTTTACCCTGAGCTACACTCGGGAATACCGCTAAGGAGGTTAATAATATGATAATATTATTATTATTATTATTATTATTATTATAATAATTATATGAGTTTAATTTAACAAACTCCCCCATCCATCCATGTCTCCTTTATTTTGCCAAGAAATCATTTTGAAAAACACCCCCGGTCATTTATGGCAGTGGCTATCTTGAGTAAGGGCAGATGATTTATGTTTAATATACTTCCTGGAATCCATCTGCCCTTAGCTCAGGCACAGGCTGAGCTGAGAACCCTCCCTCCTCTTCTGAACAGTGCTGGGATATATGACATAATTTGCCTAGGCATGGAAACCAGGAAGTATCTGAAGAAATGTAAAAAGAAAAGTTGAACATAAGTAAATATGTCTCCATGCTTTTTCTGCCAAGAAATCATTTTGAAAAACACCCCCGGTCATTTCTGGCAGTGGCCATCTTGAGTAAGGGCAGATGATTTATGTTTAATATACTTCCTGGAATCCACCTGCCCTTAGCTCAGGCATAGGCTGAGCTGAGAACCCTCCCTCCTCTTCTGAAGACTGCTGGGATGTATGACATCATTTGCCTAGGCAT